AGTCAGGTAGCCCGCTGCAGTTGGCTGGTCTGGCCTGGGGAATATGCCCAGCCACTAGAGAGGACTGCTGTTCCAGGAGGAGGGGAAGAGAGAGCAACAACAGGAGCAGCACTGGCGAAAGCAGCAACAGTGTTGGGCAGTGAATGATTGGGAGCATCACTGAAACCGCCACAGCTCCCTCAACTCCTCTACCTGCTCTGGTGGATCCCACTGTTGTTCCTGCTCCTGCTGGGAGCATCTTGAGACGATATCACCGCCACCTCACAGTTCCCTCCCCTGCTCTCACACGGAGTGCCTCCAGTTGCCACACCCCATCCCCCCACAGCACACCAACGCACCTTCCCAGGGCAGCAGCGGCGGCAGCAGCACTGGCGGAAGCAGCAGCAGCGTTGGGGAGCGGGTAGTTGGGGGCATCGTGAGAGGCTATCACCGACACTGCCACAGTTCCCTCCCCTGCTCCTGTTGCTCTCATTGTTCCTCCTGCTCCTGCTGCCGCTCCTGCAGCGGCTATAGATGGTCCCCCTGGTGCTGCTGCCGAGCCTGCTAGAGTCCGGCCCCGCCCTGGGAACCTCTGAGGGGTATGCAAGCAGAAGCACACACACGTGCACATGCCCATGCCCATGCACATGCACATGAACATACCCATGCACACTCACACGCACATGCACACGCACACGCACATGCACACATACACACACATGCACACTCACATGCACATGCACATGCACACGCACATGCACACATACACACACACAGGAAGACGGAGAGAAAAAATGAGCTGAAAGAGGAGCCAAAAGAGCCGCCATACAGATACACATGCACATTAATTTCTTAGTAATAGGGAGGGCTGCAGGGCGACGTGATAAAAGATTTGTTTTGAGACGTCTCAAAAGGAGCCAAAAGAGCCGCCAAACAGATACACATGCACATGCATTTCTTAGTAATAGGGAAGGCTGCAGGGCGAAACCTTGAACCCTAAACTCCAACACCAAAACCCGAAACCCTGGATTTCTTGACTGAACGGCAACTTACAGGATCAGCCGCGGCCGTTGCTGGTTGCAGCGTGCTTTCTTGGCTCGCAGGCTGCCCCCCCCACCCATGTGACTGTGACTGTAACGAAGGGTTTGGATTACTAGCAGCAGCCATTGCTGAAAGCGAGTGCACGTTCGATAGAGGCCCCTGGTTGTACATGTGTTGGCGCTGCTGATTGTATCCCCCCTGCTGCTGCTGTTGCTGTTGGATTAGCCTTTGCTGCTCCTGCTGCTGCTGCACTGCTGCAGCCACCGATCGCCACCTGTCCTGCACACGAGCTACGGATGCTTGCATGGATCGCCACGTGGCGTGCAGCGATTGGCTGATGCTCGCTGGCCTGAGGCAGAGAGAGGGTGACGTGCACAGGAAGAAAGTGGAAGAGAAGGGATATAGCACAGTCCGATAACCTTATTTGCACCCTCGTGCCCTTTTGCAGCTCTCTTTCACTGACGTGATGAAAGGGATGAATCCCGGAATAAGAAGGTATGCAAACCGCAGGGAGGAGGAGGCGTCCCCAAGGGTGGTGACGGCAGCAGCGGCGATAAAAATTCTCAGGCGCCAACTGAATGAGTGAGGGTAGAACTAAATGCGTGAGGGTAGAACTAAATGCGTGAGGGAAAAACTAAATGAGAGGGTAAAACTAAATGAGTGAGGGTAAAACTAAATGAGTGAGGGTAAAACTAAATGAGTGAGGGTAAAACTAAATGAGTGAGGGTAAAACTAAATGAGTGAGGGTAAAACTAAATGAGTGAGGGTAAAACTAAATGAGTGAGGGTAAAACTAAATGAGTGAGGGTAAAACTAAATGAGTGAGGGTAAAACTAAATGAGTGAGGGTAAAACTAAATGAGTGAGGGTAAAACTAAATGAGTGAGGGTAAAACTAAATGAGTGAGGGTAACGAGGGAGGCTCACCGCAGGGAGGAGGAGAGATGCCCTAGGCTGGTAAAGGCAGCAGCGGTGATGGGATGTCCTCCCGCGATGAACCCGGGCCGGCGCACCATGGGAGCCTGATGGGTGCGGTGGTGTGCAGTGGTGTGTGTGTGGTGGGTGTGGTGGGTCTTACCGCAGGGAGGAGGAGAGATGCCCTAGGCTGGTAAAGGCAGCAGCGGTGATGAGATGTCCCCCTGCAATGAACCCGGGCCGGCGCACCATAGGAGCCTGATAGGTGCAGTGGTGTGGTGGGTGTGGTGGGTGTGGTGGGTCTTACCGCAGGGAGGAAAGATCCCCAAGGCTGGTTAGAGCAGCAGTAGTGATGGGATGTCCTCCCGCGATGAACCCTGGCCGGCGCACAATAGAAGCCTGATGTGGTGTGGTGGTGTGATGTGGTGGATATGGTGGGTGGTAAATGTGTGGGGGTGGTCAGATGGGCAGTGGGCTGTGACATACTAGCGCTGGTCGGATGCCCCCCCGCAATGAACCCTGGCCGGCGCACCAACAAAGCCTGGTGGGTAAATGGGTGGTGAGTGGGTGTGTAGGTGGGAGCAGGTGAATCAGGTCTAGAGACAGCCCAGAACCGGCACACTGCAGCAGAGGGCACTGGCGAACCAGTCGGTAATGCATCCTGGCCGGCGCAGCTCATTGCCAAAGCTGGTACTGCAGAGGGATCGGAAGCAGCAGTGATCAGATGTCCCCCCACGATGAACCCTGGCCGGCGCACCATGGGAGCCTGATGGATGGGTGGTGGGCGGTTGAAGTGCGTGGTGGGTGGTTGCAGGGGAATATAGACAGTCCAGAACCACTACACAGCAGTGGCCAGCAGTGGCAGGAAGGCGCTCAGTGGGGGCAATCACGGGAGCTTAATCTCATGCGGGCTTCTCATGGCGTTACCCTACCCATAGCACTACCCTAGATTGAAGGGTAGGTAGGTAGGTACTCACCCGGGTAACGAGATGACTCTAGGGAACGGAATGTGGCTGGGAAGGGGGTGACTATAAAGAGGACGTAACGAGACCTTGTGTGGTGGTAATCATGGGGTTTAGGGTAGGAAGGTAAGTTCTGACCAGGGCTCGCGATGACTCCAGAGAACTGAATGTGGCTGAAGAAGGTGTGACAATAGCGAAGGCGCCACGAACATCTGGGGGGAAAGTGATGGACATTATGGGAAAGAGAGAAAGGTAACCGACATGATGTTATAAGCAATAAAAAGATGGTAGATAGAGATAAGAAGGGCGGATTATGAGCAGTACTCGGAGATCGACACAAGCATTTTTGAGACGTCTCAAAAGACACAAGCATAAGAGCATGCCACTGGGTTTTTTTTTTGGTGCGACTTTTGAGAATTCTCAAAAGTCGCACCCAAGACACAAGCATAAGATCATGACACTGGGTTGAGGGGTGCGCAGACCAATTTTAAGTCGACTCAAGAGGAGCCTCAGAAGTGGGGAGAAAGGCAACTCACATGCTAGCCCTGAGAGGACGCCGCTTAGGTGACCAAGCAGAGAGGCGGAGGGGAGGAGCAGTTGGAACAGCACAAGGAGGACCCAAGGGTACCTGTGGAAGAAAGGGAGGGACTTTTGAGAATTGAGCTGAGAGGAGTGAGTGTGTATTAAAGCAGAGATGCAAGCAGCTGGAATTGCACGAGGAGGACCCAAGGGTACCTGTGTATTAGCGAGAAGCGAGGCAGCAATGGGATGGGATGGGATGGGATGGGATAAAATGGGCCTTTATACCACAGCAACACAGATTTGAAGGTTGACTGCTGCAACACTGGTGTGTTACAGAATTTCCTAGCAAAATCTCACCATTCGGTTGGCACAGTGTGAAGAAAACATTGCATGCACGTGAATTGCATGCAAGGAAAATCTCAAAACAACTCCAATAGAAAGGCCTCAACAGAAGTCTCGCCGGGCGGTTGTCTCACTGAAGAATCAAAAGATGCTGCATGAATGGGAGTTGTGTTTTTGGGTCGAATTCAAACAAGATGCCGAATGCATGGGAGTTGCCTTAGAAAATTCTCAAAGCAACTCCACCAGTGAGTTCTTGAAACAGATCTTACCATGCGGTTGGCACAGTGAAGAAACCAAAGATGCTTGATGCACGCATGTATGCATGCATGCATGCTTGAGAGAATTCTCAAAGCATCTCCACCAGAGAGAGTTCTTGAAACAGATCTTACCATGCGGTTGACACAGTGAAGAAACCAAAGATGCTGCACACGGGTGAAACAGAACGCGGGGTGACACAGGGGAGGAGATACAGTGGGGAGGAGATACACGGGAGAATTTTCAAAAGTAACTCCAACTAAGAGAGTTCTCAAAAGTATTACCATGCGGTTGGCTCAGTGAAGAAACCAAAGATACATGCAAAGAAACCAAACACGCGGGTGAAACCCGCATGCATTGAGGTTGTTTTTGAGGCGCCTCAAATACAACCTCAATGGTTGGCACAGTGAACATGCAAAGAAACCAAACACGCGGGTGAAACATGGCGCGGGGTAACAGAACGGAGGGGAAAAATCAAGGACGAAACGGAAATGCAGAGGCATGTGGGAAATGAGAGTTGGAATAGAAGTTGATGCTTTGATTGAGAATGATGGGGGTATACATAGTTGGGGGTTGGATACTAGCCTAGGTTGGCATTATTGGACCCCAACCAATAAGTTGGGTTGGGTGATTATTGGTGGGGTCCAATAATGTTGGCCAAGTTGGGGTTGAGCCAACATTATTGGAGGGAGCCAATAATTCTACCCAACCCAACCTTTTGGGGTCCAATAATTGGACCAAGGTTGGGTTCCAACCTACAAACTGGGTTACCCCTGTTTGTACACCCAAACTAAGTTTGGGTGCTTATCTCTAGCCTATTCTATAGCATATATGCAGGTTACAAGAGGAGAGATATTCTAACAAGGCAAGGAGTGTAAACCACATGCAATGCACACACGGTACTGTGTTATGCCAAGAGAATCACTTGGCCTTAGGCACTGCATGGCTTCTATTTAACCCAGGAGACCACACCATGCCATGCCAGGTCTACTGTGGATGGCGTCGTTGAGGAGGGCGAGCAGCAGCAGCGCGATAAACGCCAAGAGCACTCCTGAGAACCCAATGCAGCACTCGCCAGCCCCACCAGCCCCACCACCCTAACAGCAATCCAGGCATGAACGCCAAGACACTGTGGATGGCGGCGTTGAGGCAGGCGAGCAGCAGCAGTGCGTGCAGCTGCCGGAGGGAGCCCAGGCCCCAGGTGGCGCCTCTAGTATAGGGAGAGGAGACCTGCACTGACCTCCTTTGACTTCCCCCTCCAATATGCAAGTCCAGGACGATCAATGCAAAGAGCACTCCAGAGAACCCAATGCAGCACTCGCCAGCCCACCAACCCCACCAGCCTAACAGCAATCCAGGCATGAACGCCAAGGCACTGTGGATAAGGGAGTTGAGGAGGGCGAGCAGCAGCAGCGCGTGCACCCAGGTGGTGCCTCTATACCAGGTTCCCCCCACCAACCCCACCACCCTAACAGCAGTCCAGGCATGAACGCCAAGGCACTGTGGATGGTGGAGTTCAGGCAGGCGAGCAGCAGCAGCGCGTGCAGCAGGCGCAGTGAGCCCAGGTGGCGCTCCAGAGGGGCAGGGCATAGATGCCAAGGCAGAGTAAATAACGGCGTTCAGGCGGGCGAGCAGCAGCAGCGCGTGCAGCAGGCGCAGTGAGCCCAGGTGGCGCTCCAGAGGGGCAGGGCATAAATGCCAAGGCAGAGTAAATAACGGCGTTCAGGCGGGCGAGCAGCAGCAGCGCGTGCAGCAGGCGCAGTGAGCCCAGGTGGCGCTCCAGAGGGGCAGGGCATAAATGCCAAGGCAGAGTAAATAACGGCGTTCAGGCGGGCGAGCAGCAGCAGCGCGTGCAGCAGGCGCAGTGAGCCCAGGTGGCGCTCCAGAGGGGCGGGGCATAAATGCCAAGGCAGAGTAAATAACGGCGTTCAGGCGGGCGAGCAGCAGCAGCGCGTGCAGCAGGCGCAGTGAGCCCAGGTGGCTCTCCAGCGGGGAAGCCAGGGGGAGGAGTGTGGAGAGGCAAGAAGGGGAAACCTGGAACCCTGCACTCACCTCCTGTCTCTGCCCCCCCCGACTTGTAAGTCCAGCACGATCAGTGCAAAGAGCACTCCGGAGAAGCCGATGCAGCACTCGCCAGCCCACCAACCCCACCACCCTAACAGCAATCCAGGCATGAACGCCAAGGCACTGTGGATAAGGGAGTTCAGGCAGGCGAGCAGCAGCAGTGCGTGCAGCAGCCGCAGTGAGCCCAGGTGGCGCTCCAGAGGGGCCGCCAGAGGGAGGAGTGTGGAGAGGTTGAGTGCAATGTGGAGGAGTCCCTTGTGGAAGAAGATGGAGGTGAGTGCGCGGTATACTGGAAGATAGCAGCGGAAATAGAGGGAATAGCAGAGGGGGAGAGAGGGGAACACAGGGGTTAGAGAAAAAAAGATTTGGAGAGGATTGTGAGTGAGTGAGGGATGCGAGAAGCCTCTCGCTGTGTGTGTCAATAATAATGTGTCTACTCGTCCTAAACCAGCACTGGTGAATGAGCGTGCAAGTGACTTTTGAGTAGACTCAAAAGCACGAACCAAGAGCATCAGGGACATCTATCAGAGACATCTCTAACCCAGCCAGCAATCTAACCCAGCCAGCACTATAAACCAGCCAGCACTGGTGAGTGAGTGTACCAAGCCTAGCGCACCTTTCCATTGCAGCACAGTTAGAAAGGGCGAGAAGCAGAACTCCCTGAAGCAAGCTGCAACCAGAGCCCTGCTTAGTGCTCACCAGGTGTGTTTTGAGTCGACTCAAAACAGACCTCCCTGAAGCAAGCTGTAACCAGAGGCACGCCCAACCACCAGTGGTGAGCGCCCTCAGCCCTGCTTAGTGCTCACCTTGCCAGTGCAGCAGGGCGAGGGAGGGCGAGAAGCAGACCTCCCTGAAGCTGTCATAGCCAGTCAGTAGGTCGACCGCAAACACAGCCACACAGACGGCGAAGACTGAGGCTGTTATGAGAGGCACGGCCAGCCACCACTGATGGATGCGCGTACCTATGCTGGCCTGGGAAGGGGAGCGGAGGAGCGAGAGAATGGGGGAGAGGACGAGGGGGGGTAATGAGGCGTTTAGGCACGGCCAGCCACCACTGGTGGATGTGCGTACCTATGCTGGCCTGGGAGGTGGGGTGGGGGGGTTGAAGGACAGTCACGCAGACAGCCACACAGATGGCGAAGACGAAGGCTGTTACTTAAGGCACGCCCAGCCACCACTGGTGGATGTGCGTACCTATGCTGGCCTGGGAGGGGGAGGGAGGGAGATAGGGAGGGGATGGGGGAGACGATGGGGGGAGGGGAGAGGAACCGCCACAACCACACACACACACAGCCACTCAGACGGCGAATACTTAGGTTGATATCAGAGGCACGGCCAGCCACCACTGGTGGATGTGCGTGCCTGTGCTGGCCTGGAGGGAAAGGATGGGGGAAACGACGACGGATCGGATCAATCACTACCACCACACATACAGCCACTTTTGAGGCGCCTCAAATGTGCGTGCCTATGTTTGCCTGCAGAGAAGCGATGGGGGAAACGACGACGGATCGGATCAATCACTACCACCACACATACAGCCACACACACAGGTGTCGCGAAACTCCTACAGGTGTCGCGAAACTCCTACAGGTGTCGCGAAACTCCTAAAGGTGTCGCGAAACTCCTACAGGTGTCGCGAATCTCCTACATGTGTCACGAAACTCCTACAAGTTTGCTACAGGCAGGAATCGCAGACCTCTGATGTGACGTTGGACCGCATCGCGCCTCCACCACCGTTGATTTCCGCGATCCAACGGCCGACGCAATCGTCACAAGGTCAGAGACAATCTGACGGCCGAGGAAATCCTCCAGGCTGTGCAAGCCAAATCGGACGGCAGAGAGAATTTGATCCGTGGAGCCGCGATCCTTGAGGCAACGAAAAAATGTCGGAAAACGCGACGGATTATCGTTATTTCTTAAAACAAAGTCTTTCGAATCAGGTCAGAGCGCGAACTAGAGGCTGTGAGGTTGCGGGCAACGGCTAGCAAACCAAGCGCTTCGGCGGAATCTAAGCGGCAACTAAGAAAAACTGGCTTCTAGGCGAAACGTATGCTTGACGGATGATTGTTCAGTCAGCACAGCAGTGACCTTAGAGAATGCCGAGTATACGCGTTAGTGTCCTGAGCGTGCGCGTGAATTTCAAACTACCACTACACATTCAGCTGCTACAAAGCCTCGAAGTACATTTTCCAGAACCTATCTTTTTAGTGCAGACAAAAGAAGGAAAGCACAAGCATACAATACATCAATTCAAGCTGCGCTGCACACAACATATTTTCCAAGCAGAGACTCTTACAACCTACGAGCCCAGCCTCCACGTACAATCTCCCTCCGGTTCTTGGGAGATTCCCGTTGTTTTCTCTGCGTCTCAAAATGCGACCTAACCTGGTTAATCTATTCAAACCTCTGCAGCACCGTATCCGAAGGAAACGGGTAATCTTAACTAGTTACATCCTGAACAGTTACACACTACACTAGCCGGACGCTTGCCATCCATAGCAGCACTCACACCTCAGTCCCTGCTCTTCTCTTGATTCACACTGGCCTTGCTTTTGGCTGCTTGCTTACTGCTCTCTCAGCTCTCCACTACTATGCTCGCTGCTCCCTCAACCATCCCCTAAATGCTTCTTTTGTGCTTGCTACCTAAACACTCTCTCCTTCGCCACCTGTCACCATCACTCTTTCCTACACTCCACTCAGCTACCGGTATCTCTGATCCTCTTTACCTCTCCTCTGTCTAGCCATTGCCTCTTGACATATCTCCCCTCCATCCATCCTCCTCTCGTCTCTTCACACCCATTGCCCATTCATCACTCCAGCCGTCATCTATCTACCGATGGCTAAGCTCCCCACCCTATTCCTCTTTCGCTACTTGCTCATGCCATCAGTCCCCAGTCACTCCAGTTGTCATCCTCACTGTCCTCATCCACAGGAGCTCTCCTCCTAGTGATCGCTCCTGCCAGCATTGCATTTGTAGCCCCACTCACAATAAGCGTACCTTCCCCATCTCCGCCGCTGCATCCTCACTATCCTCATCCACAGGAGCTCTCCTCCTAGTGATCGCTCCTGCCAGCATCGCTTGGGTAGGCCCCCCCCACTCAACTTTTCATTAATCGCTCCTGCTGTCATCCCCCCACCCCTCAACCTCCTTCCTCTAGTCGCTCCAATCGTCATCTTCACTATCTTCATCTTCATCCACCGGTGCTCTTCTCCTCGTGATCGCCCCTGCCAGCATCGCATTTGTAGCCCCCCTCACACACAGCGTACCTTCCGCCCCTCTGCTCTACTCCAATCACTCATGTCACCATCATGCCCGCCCCTTTCCCCCTCCCTCCTAGTCACTCCAGTCATCATCCTCACTGTCCTCATCTTCATCCACCGCAGCTCGACTCCTCGTGATCGCCCCTGCCAGCACCTGCACTCCCTCCCGCTCCCATTTCCATAGCCACTCCAGTCGTCATCCCAGCTGCCCACACTCCTCCCCCTCTAATCACTCCAGTCATCATCCTCACTGTCTTCATCCTCATCCACCGGTGCTCGCCTCCTCGTGATCGCCCCTGCCAGCATCGCCCGTGCAGCCCCCCCCCCAACTCGTCCTGCTCATCAACCAGTGCCCCTGCAGCCCACACTCCAATCGACTCGACTTGCTCTAATCACTCCAGTCATCATCCTCACTGTCTTCATCCTCATCCACCGGTGCTCTCCTCCTCGTAATCGCACCCGCCAGCATTGCATTTGTGGCCCCCCTCACAAACGGCGTACCCTCCGCCCCTCCGCCCCCACCTCCTCTCCCTCCTCTCTCCTCCTCACTCTCCTCACTCCCCTCTGCCTCTTCATCCTCCTCTTTTTCCGCCGCTGCTTTTGCAGCCACTTCCTGCTGCTTCTGCTCCTGCTTCTGCGATTTCTGCTTTGCATGCTCCTTCTGCTGCTCCTCCTGCTCCCGCTGCTGCTTCCCACTCGCTTTCGCCTTCGGCTGGGCTTCCTCCTTGGCCGCCTCCTCCTCTGCCTTTTTCTTCTTCTCATACTCCACCAGGTTCTTCTTAAAGAGATCTACAAAGTCTCTCAACACTCCAAAAACTGGGGAGAAAGTACAGGAAAAGGAGATGGAAACAGGGAATTGATCAGCAAAGTCCTTAGTTGCCTCCTCGTCTGCCTTTTTCTTCTTCTCATACTCCACCAGATTCTTCTTGAAGAGATCGACAAAGTCCCTCAACACACTGAAGACTGGCAGGAGATGAGACGAAGGGTAGTGGGGGAGGCAGAAGAGGGAAGGGGAATGATTGTGCTTCCCACTCGCTTTCGCCTTGGGCTGGGCCTTCTCCTTAGCCGCCTCCTCCTCTGCCTTTTTCTTCTTCTCATATTCAACCAGATTCTTCTTTAAGAGATCGACAAAATCCCTCAACACTCCAAAGACTGCAAGGGGACGACAAGGAGAAGGAGATGGAACAGGGCAGGGCACAGTGACTTGGTGTAACACGTGTCAGATTCAGAGCCAAACCAGCGGAGCAGGTTCGAGCCAAACCAGTGAGCAGGTTCGGGCCAAACCAGTGAGCAGGTTCGGGCCAAACCAGTGAGCAGGTTCGGGCCAAACCAGTGAGCAGGTTCGGGCCAAACTAATGCATTCGGTTCAAACCGAATGAACGAAATCGGATTCAGCTGACTGTCCTGACTCAGCTGACTGTCTTGACTCAGCTGACTGTCTTGACTCAGCTGACTGTCTTGACTCAGCTGACTGTCTTGACTCAGCTGACTGTCTTGACTCAGCTGACTGTCTTGACTCAGCTGACTGTCTTGACTCACCAGGCGCGATTTCTGAGGCGCCTAAGAAATCGTCTCCGTTTTTGAGGCACCTCAGAAATTGAGACTCACCAGACGCGAGCCAAACTCACTGAGTGTGTGACGGAGGTTGTTTAGGGATCGGAGCCACAATAGCCACATAATCTGAATCGGGCTGTTTTCACAGGGCCGTAGCCGAACCAACTTGATAGGCTCGAGCCCAACTCAGTGAGTGTAAAGGAGGTTGTCTTGGGGTCTGAGCTGAATCTGCTCTGAGAATCGGAGCTGAATCTGCTCTGAGAATCGGAGCTGAATCTGCTCTGAGAATCGGAGCTGAATCTGCTCTGAGAGTCGGAGCTGAATCTGCTCTGAGAGTCGGAGCCGAAGATGCTTCTAGGAATAATATTACATCTGAGCAGAACTTATTGAGTGTGAAGGAGGTTGTCTTGGGGTCCGAGCCAAATCTGCTCTGAGAATCATAGCCGAATCTGCTTCAAGAATTAAAGCCACTCTTATGTACTAGGCTCGAGCCCAACTCACTGAGTGTGAAGGAGGTTGTCTTGGGGTCCGAGCCAAACTTGCTCTGAGAATCATAGCCGAATCTGCTTCTAGAATAAAGGCCACACTTGCTTACTAGGTTCGAACCAAACTCACTGAGTGTAAAAGAGGTTGTCTTAGGGTCCGAGCCAAACTTGCGAGCGAGATTTTCAGCACTGGCGTTCTGGGAAGTGGGAGAAAGGTGGTGAGGAGAAAGGGGGGGAAGGAGAAAAGGGGGGAAGGAGAAAGGGAAAGGTGAGCGGATGGGGGGCAAGGGAGAGCAGAGGGGGTCCGAGCCAAACTTGCGAGCAAGGTTTTCGGCACTAACGTTCCGGTGGATGGGGGGGGATGAGGGGGCAAGGGGAAAGGAAAGGGGAAGGAGAGAGGATGGGGTGGGGGGATGGGGGAACAAGGAAGGTGAAGAGGGGGTGCGAGCGAGACTCTCAGCGAGATTCTCAGCACTGGCGTTCTAGGAAGTGGGAGAAAGGTGGTGGGGAGAAAGGGGGGGAAGGAGGGGAAGGAGACAGGGGAAGGAGAGAGGATGGGGGGATGGGGGACAAGGGAGGTGAAGAGCGGGTGCGAGCGAGATTCTCAGCGAGATTCTCAGCACTGGCGTTCTAGGAAGTGGGAGAAAGGTGGTGGGGAGAAAGGGGGGGAAGGAGGGGAAGGAGACAGGGGAAGGAGAGAGGATGGGGGGATGGGGGACAGGGGAGGTGAAGAGCGGGTGCGAGCGAGATTCTCAGCACTGGGGAGTGCGCAGCCCACCTGTCCTCTCTTGACAACTCTCAGCACTGGCGTTCTGGTGGGCGGGGGAGACGATAGGGGGGAAATGGGGGAAGAGAGGGGAAGGCTTTTGGGTCGACTCAAAAGTCAGAGGAGGAACGCGGGGAAGGGAGAGGGCCAAGACTCTCAGCACTGGCGTTCTGGTGGGAGGGGGAGATGATGGGGAAGAAATCAGGGGAAGAGGGGATGATTCTTCTGCTGATGCCATGCCATGCCATGCCAGACACTTTTACATGCTGATTCTTACTAATTGTGCATGAAGCATCCACCAGAGGGGCTCCTCTCTCACCATATCATCCAGCAGGCTGTGCATGTTGACGAGGTGACCTCAGAGTCAACTCCCTGCACCGTCACCTCAGAGGGGCTCCTCTCACCATATCATCCAGCAGGCTGTGCATGTTGCCATGCCGCATCATGCCACACCAGGCAACGTCACCATGTCACGAGGCGATATGGGACTTATCTCACCATGTCACGAGGCGATATGGGACTTATCTCACCATGTCACGAGGCGATATGGGACTTATCTCACCATGTCACGAGGCGATATGGGACTTATCTCACCATGTCACGAGGCGATATGGGACTTATCTCACCATGTCACGAGGCGATATGGGACTTATCTCACCATGTCACGAGGCGATATGGGACTTATCTCACCATGTCACCCATGAGGCTGTGCACGTTGCCATGCCATCTAACTACGTCCTCATCGTAGAACAGAGGGGGCAATAAGGGATCAAGAAGAGGGCTCCTCTCACCATGTCCCCCATGAGGCTGTGCACGCAGGCATGCCATCTCACAACGTCCTCTTCATAAAACAGCTGCATGGCTCAATAAGTATCCGCATGCTTCAACGGCAACACCTCCTCCTCAGCCCAGCCCACAATCAAAACAGGAGAGATATGGCATAATGGGAGGGAGCTCTCACCATGTCACCCATGAGGCTATTTTTGAGGCGCCTCAAAAAGCATAATGGGAGGGAGATCTCACCATGTCCCCCATGAGACTATTTTTGAGGCGTCTCAAAAAGCATAATGGGAGGGAGATCTCACCATGTCCCCCATGAGACTATTTTTGAGGCGTCTCAAAAAGCATAATGGGAGGGAGATCTCACCATGTCCCCCATGAGACTAAGCAAATTTTACTTTTGAGAATTCTCATAAGTAAAAATCATAATGGGAGGGAGCACTCACCATGTCACCCATGAGGCTGTGCACGTTGCCGTGCCATCTAACCACATCTTCATCGTAAAACAGCTGCATGGCCCGATAAGTGTCCGCATGCTTCAACGGCAGTGCCTCCTCCTCCCGCTTCTCCTCCTCCTTCTTCTCCTTCTCCTTCTCCTTCTCCTTCTCCTCCTTTTTCTCCTCCTCCTTTTTCTCCTCCTTTTTCTCCTCCGTTTTCTCCTCCCCTTTCTCACCCTCTCCGCTCTTCCCTCCATCGCCCTTCTCCCCCTCCCCTTCCTTCCCGTCAACCTCCTTACTCTCCTCCTTCTCTCCCTCCCCCTTCTCCCCCTCTTGCGCTTTCTTCTCCTTCGCTTTCTCCTTCTCCTCCTCCTTCTTCCTCTCCTCCTCGGCCATCTTCTCACACTCCTTCAACTCTCGCTCCACAAGCACCTTCCCTACGTCCAGCTCCTTTACCACCTCCGCCAGTCCCTTCTGGTCCACCTGCAAGGGGTGGGAGAGAGAAAGAAAGCACGGAAATATCGCCTTAGAGAAAAGCATCCCTCTGACCATCTTTCCTTCAACTCTCGCTCCACAAGCACCTTCCCTACGTCCAGCTCCCCCACCACGTGAGTCAATCCTTTCTGGCCCACCTCCAAGGATCAACCAAACAGGGGAGACGAAACAGGCTGGAGCAGATAAGATTCGCTTCGCACACTTCCTCTCCTCTCTTCCTCAGCCATCTTCTCACACTCCCTCAACAACTCCCTCGCTCCACCAGAACATTCCCTCTCTCAGTGAGCTCTTCTTGATCGCCTCATTCAACAGGTTCCGAGACCCATCTGTGAAGTGCTTCCAGAAGTAGACCCACTCTCGGGGAGAGGGAGAGCACACAGAAACACCGCCTTCCTCGGACCAGCTTCAACAAAAGGCGAAGTGAACTCAGCTCACCTTGATCGCCTCATTCAACAGGTTCCGAGACCCGTCTGTGAAATCCTTCCAGAAGTAAAGCCACTCGGGACGGCACTGGCTCAGGACCTGAAAGCAGTGTGACGATGGGAATAAGGAGAGGGGGAGTGAGGAGGAAAGAGGACGAGTGAAAAGGTGTAAAGAGAGAGAGCAAGAAAGTTGCAATAAGGCAACGGGAGGAGGGCAGAGACCTTTCCAAAATATAATAAGGCCTCTTCTCATGAACTCCTTCCAGGAGGGCAGAGACCTTTCCAAAATATAATAAGGCCTCTTCTCATGAACTCCTTCCAGGAGGGCAGAGACCTTTCCATGAACTCGAGCTGGTTTTTGAGAATTATCGAAACCTTTCCACGAACTCTTTCCAGGAGAAGAGTCACTCGGGACGTCTCTCGCTCAGGACCTGTACATTTTGAGAAATCATACGATATAACATATAAAATACAACGATACAATACATCACATAGTGTTCTATTCTATTATAATATATATCTCTAATCTCTTATACAAAAACACACCCTGATGAGGTACGCCAGGAAGCCCTTGGTGTTGGCCACCTTGTGAACATTTACTGAAATTTAATTGCACCTTGTATAAAGAAGCACCTGGTATATATGTATAGTGTGTATATAGCATATATAGTGTACATAGAGTATATACTCATAACTCACCTTGATGAGGTACGCCATGATGCCCTTGGTGTTGGCCACCTTGTTCATACAATTGAGGTATTAATCGCACCTTGTATATATAGTCTATGTTTTCATAGTGTATATATACCTTAATGAGGTACACCATGATGCCCTTGGTGTTGGCCATCTTGTTCATACAATTGAGGTATTAACTGCACCTTGTATGTATAGTCTATGTTTCCATAGTGTATTTATACCTTAATGAGGTACGCCATGATGCCCTTGGTGTTGGCCACCTTGTTCATACAATTGAGGTATTAATCGCACCTTGTATATATAGTCTATGTTTTCATAGTGTATATATACCTTAATGAGGTACGCCATGATGCCCTTGGTGTTGGCCATCTTGTACATACAATTGAGGTATTAACTGCACCTTGTATATATAGTCTATGTTTCCATAGTGTATTTATACCTTAATGAGGTACGCCATGATGCCCTTGGTGTTGGCCACCTTGTTCATACAATTGAGGTATTAACTGCACCTTGTATATATAGTCTATGTTTCCATAGTGTATTTATACCTTAATGAGGCACGCCATGATGCCCTTGGTGTTGGCCACCTTGTTCATACAATTGAGGTATTAACTGCACCTTGTATATCTAGTCTATGTTTCCATAGTGTAATTATACCTTAATGAGGTACGCCATGAAGCCCTTGGTGTTGGCCACCTTGTTGATACAATGAGACATCAACTGCACCTTGTATAAAGAAGCACCTAGTATAGTGTATATATTCATAACACACCTTAATGAGGTACGCCATGAAGCCCTTGGTGTTGGCCACCTTGTTCAGATCGTTGGCTGCAAACCCCACCACCTTGCCTGTCGCATCAGCAAACACACACGGCACACATGGAAACAACAGGAACAAGATTTGATATGTTACTAAAACTACCCATGGCACGCAGGATAACACAGAAACAAGGAAAACAGAAGCGAAAGAAAGAAAGGGATAGAGAGGTAGATTCATGCAGCAGCAGCAGAAGCAGCAGCAGCAGCAGCAGCAGCAGCAGCAGAAGCAGCAGCAGCAGCAGAAGCAGCAGCAGCAGCAGAAGCAGCAGCAGCAGCAGCAGCAGCAGCAGCAGCAGCAGCAGCAGCAGCAGCAGCAGCAGCAGCAGCTCCTTCTCTGCAACGTGCTGGCCTTTTGCACCCAATCGTTCCTCCATCATACAATACGGCACTGTACCAACGAAACATTGAGGCAGTTTTTTTGGCGACTTTTGAGGCGCCTCAAAAGTCTACTTGGCACCGTACTGGCCTTTTGCACCCAATCGTTCCTCCATCATACACAAGGTACCACCCAAACATCGACTTTTGAGTTGAGTCAGAAGCGCAGAATACCAGCTCCCTGCACCCAAAAGATCATCATGATACTGTAGATACAATGTGATACAATATGATACTGTTACCACCCAACACTATCAATATGGTACAATATGATAACACCACCCAGATTTCAGTCGAATACCACCCATTGCTCACCCTTCTTGGTGCCCTCATTAAGTTTGTTGCCAATATCTCGCACCACCAGCAGCACATGCTGCAGCTTCTGAGACTCTTGTATCTGCGAGATTTAGGGGCGACAAACACAGAGAGAAGAAGCGAAGGGGGGTGAATTGCACGAGAAAGGGGGACGGAGCAGGGGGCGGGGGAGGGGGGTGGGGGTGTAGGTGGGGGAGGGGGGGAAGAGCAACAGGAGTGGCTGGTGGGTTTGAGAAAGCATGAGTATATATCGTACATATCGTATATACAGGCGTTTTTAGGTGTAAGGCAGGGATGGGGCAAGGGGGAAGGAAGTGAATTTGATGGGAAATGAAAGACGAAGTGCCCACCTTTTGTGAGACAAGAGTAACGAACTTGATCGTGTCTGCAAGCTCTGGTGCCTGGTGGATGTGAGAGGGAGGTGGGGAGGGGGCGGAAGGGGGGGAGGAGACTTCTGAGTCGACTCAAAAGTCAACCTTTTGTGAGACGAGGGTGACGAACTTGAACGTGTCTGCAAGCTCTGGTGCCTGGTGAGATGTGGAGAGGGAGGCAGGGGAGGGAAGATGCAGGGGATTGTGAGAAGCAGGAATGGGAGTAGTGTTTTGAGTCGGCTCAAAACACACCAGGAATGGGAGGATCAATCTCCTGCTTCTCACTTTCCTCCCATGAAGTGAGGGTGTTTTTGAGACGTCTCAAAAATCAATCTCCTGCTTCTCACTTTCCTCCCGGAATGGAAGATTCTGACAATTACCCGCTCTGACAGGAAGATTCTGTACTAACAGCAGCAACTTGAGCTTCGGCTCCTGCCGCTGCACCTCCAGCAGCATTCATGCACCCGCACCCGCTTGTACAAACAAACACCCACCATAACTCACCCGCTCAGCCAGGAATATCCTGTACTGCCACACCTTGAGCTTGGGCTCCAGTCTCCGTACCCCCAGCAGCACTCAAGAGACTCTATCCAGCTCTAAACTCAGTGCAAAGCTTCTTACCCTACACCCTACACCCACTCACTCCCCTTCCACCCACTCACCCGCTCTGCCAGGAATATCTGGTACTGCAGCACCTTGAGCTTCGGCTCCAGCCGCTGCACCGGTTCAGCCGACCTAACCCATGTCCACACAAACACCCACACGCCTACCGATTCTCTCGCCTCCACTCCACTCACCCGCTCTGCCAGGAATATCCGGTACTGCAGCACCTTGAGCTTTGGCTCCAGCCGCTGCACCCCCAGCAATGCGCGGAACAGCTGCAGGTGGAGAGAGGGGGAAGACGAGGGAAAAGGGGGGGAGTGAGAAAACTCTGTACTGCAGCACCTTGAGCTTTGGCTCCAGCCGCTGCACCCCCAGCAATGCGCGGAACAACTGCAAAGAGGGGTGGGGGGATGGGGGGTAAGGGGGGGTGGGGGGATGTGGGGATGTGGGGAGAGGAGGGGAGAGGGGGAAGGAGTTGTTGAGATGGGGGGGATGGAGAGAGGTTCAAAAATGAGGAAATGGGGGAAGAGGGAGACAATTGGGGATGAGGGGAAAGTTTAGGGATGTGCTTGATGAGGGAAAGATGGGAGATTTCTGTGCAATCGCTGCATTCTCTTAGCGGCACATGAAGCAGCTGCAGGGAAAGAAGGAGAATCAATCAAACCATTCTCTCTACCTCCTTCCCCCCTTCCTCAGTACCTACCTTCCTCAGAACCCACCTTTCTCGGAATCTCATGTGCTCGCACCTATCTCTCTCACTACCAACCTTCCCCAGCACACACCTGTTCGCACGGACCCAAATCCTCCACATTCCCCTTAAACTCCTGCCAAAGGAAGTGGGGCGAGGAAAGGGGGGAGGAGGGGGGAAATGGGCGGAGGGAGGAAGGCGGAAGTGGAGGGAGGGGCGTGTTACACACATGCGCACACTGAATCTCATACCACCCTCAGCAGCCGCTTCTCCTTGTCATCAGGGCCACACTTCAACAGAGTTTCCAACAGGCTGTCCCACCACTATGCTACCCACACGTCCACACATGCACGCACACACATGCATGCATGCACCCTATAGACCTAAACCAGGTGTTTCTCACCCTCAGCAGCCGCTTCTCCTTGTCGTCTGGGCCGTACTTGAGCAGAGACCCCACCAGGCTGTAACACCACTCGCACCACACATGCGCCCATGCACGTGCGCCCTAGACACATGCACACAGTAGGTCTCATCTCATCTCACCCTCAGCAGCCGCTTCTCCTTGTCGTCAGGGCCGTACTTGAGCAGAGTCTACACCAGGCTGTCACACCACTCGCACCACACATGCGCCCTACATACATGCATGTGCCCCATGCACATACACCCCCTCCCTCCTACTACACACACGTGCACACTAGGTCACATGCGTCTCACCCTCAGCAGCCGCTTCTCCTTGTCGTATGGATCATATTTCAACAGAGTCTCCACCAGGCTGCTGCACCACTCGCACCATTTGCCACACACGTGCACCCACTGGAACGTGTATCTGCCACCCCCCTATGCTATCCTATACAATACACCTCCACATAAGTGACTCACCCGCAGCAGCCGCTTCTCTTTGTCATCCGGGCCGTACTTGAGCAGAGTCTCCACCAGGCTGTCACACCACAAGCCACACACATACATCCACCAAACACCACCCTGCACCGCACGCACACACGCATCTCACCCGCAGCAGCCGCTTCTCCTTGTCATCCGGTCCATACTTCAACAATGTTTCCACCAGGCTGTCACACCACTCGCCTATTGTCGACGTGTCGACACTCAACACTGCAACCTGGTGGCATGAGAAGGGCAGGAGAGAGCAAGAGGGAGAGAGAGAGGGGAAAGCAGGGGTTGACGGAAAAAGAGTCTCCAGCAGGCTGTCGTAGGGATGAGCAATATGACGAACTCCTGTTCGGTTCGCCTCGAACACGTTCGAGGCGAACCGAACAGGATTTTTTTTTGGCCAAAATTGTTCGGGGCGAACGTGTTCGGTGTTCGCCCGAACACGTTCGCCGTTCGCCCGGCTCAGCTCGCCGAGGCGCGTCGAACACGAACGTGTTCGTGTTCGACACGTGCCTTCGACAAACACCAATGTGTTCGTCGACGAATAGGCCCGCGACCAATTTTTAGGTCGCGGGCCTTGGTGTTTGGGCTCAGATCTGGCCTTTCACAGTTAGAAAAAAGTGCAGATCTAGCATTTCGCCATTGCTTAAGTGCAGATCAAGCATTTCGCCGTTGCTTAAGTGCGGATCGAGCATTTCGCCGTTGTTTAAGTGCGGATCGAGCATTTCGCCGTTGCTTAAGTGTGGATCGAGCATTTCACCGTTGCTTAAGTGCGGATCTAGCATTTCGCCGTTGCTTAAGTGCGGATCAAGCATTTCGCCGTTGCTTAAGTGCAGATCTAGCATTTCGCCGTTGCTTAAGTGCGGATCTAGCATTTCGCCGTTGCTTAAGTGCGGATCAAGCATTTCGCCGTTGCTTAAGTGCAGATCTAGCATTTCGCCGTTGCTTAAGTGCGGATCTAGCATTTCGCCATTGCACGTTGGCACTAGATGGATGAAGCAGGGCGGGACTGGCTTGGGAGGTGGGGGGAGAGAATGTGCGACGATTTGAATTTTACTCTATATTGAATTTCCCCCTGGGCGAACACGAACATGTTCGCCACGAACATGTTCGTGTTCGCCTGCTGCAGCAATTCGTTCGCCTCCTAGGGCGAACGGCGAACACCTATTTTCACTCAAGTCGTTCGCCGAACCGAACACTGTTCGGTTCGGCAGAAGGCCATGTTCGTCAGGGGGCGAACACGAACATGTTCGAGTTCGCCCCCTGCTCATGCCTAGGCTGTCGCACCACTCGCCTATTGTCGACGTGTCTACACTCAACACCGCAACCTGAGTAGTGAAGAGAACAGGAAAGGGGGAGAGGTGGGAGGGGGAGGAGGTGGGAGGGGGAGGAGGTGGGAGGGGGAGGAGGTGGCTGGAATGATGACATGTGAACGAGTTGGGGACGTCTTAAACGACCTTTTGAGGCGACTTTTGAGGTGACCTTTGAGGCGACTAAAAAGACATGCGAACGAGTTGGTGTTGGGGACTTCTTGAACGGGGTAAGGGGCAATGAATCCCCTTTCCTATTAGCCAGCCTAACACCACTGGCTAAAAACAGCAACTGAATTGATGCCAAAATAATAAAAGGGAGGAAGCTTTACTAATGACTCAAAGGAGGTAAGAGGCGAGAGAAGGGAGAAGAGAGGAGAGGGGCAGAGCGGAAGAGTGGCATACCACGAGGTCGTGCGGATGGAGCTTCATGCTTCGAAGAGAGAGAGCAGGGAGCAGAGGGGCAGAGAGGCGAGAGAAGGGAGAAGAGAGGAGAGGGGCAGAGCGGAAGAGCGGCATACCACGAGGTCGTGCGGATGGAGCTTCATGCTTCGAAGGGAGATCTCCACGTTCCTCGACTTGGCCATGTCGATCTGTATAGTTGGGGGTGGGGGGTTGGGGAGAGGGGGATGGAATGCGTCATCTTTGTCCCAACGAGCTTCATGCTTCAAAGGGAGATCTCCACGTTCCTCAACTTGGCCATGTTGATCTGAGAGTGCGCGGGGGTGGGGAGGGGGGCGAAGAAAACGTAACGGTTCGGAGGGGAGGATGGATGAGGCATCTTTGTTTATCCCAACCAGTTGGGTATAGATGGTTTGGAACCGCTGCCAGCTTCCTGCTGCGAAGAGAGATCTCCACGTTCCTTGACTTGGCCGTGTCGATCTGTACGGTTGGCAGGGGCGTGGGGAATGAATGAGGACGGGATGAGGCATCTTGGACAGCCAGATGAAATGGATGAGGATTCATGCTGCCAAGGAGAGAGATCTCAACCGTTGAGATCTCTCGGCCATGTCGATCTGACCTGAGTGTACAGAGGGGGGAAGAGAGGGGGAGTAAGGTGGGGGTTGGGGGGGAAAGGGGAGGGGAGGATGGATGAGGCATCTTGATTCTTCACAGGCTGCTCCGCTGCTGCAGAGAACCCTGCCCTACTGGCGCACTGTTAGTTGGCGCCACCTGGCACCACTTGGTACTCACAATGCGGATGACTTGCTTCTTCACAGGCTGCTCTGCCTGCTTGAGAGGAGCCGCAGCCTTTGGTCTAACTGCTTAGAACCACTTGGTACCTTTTCATACCACTTGGTACGACTTGGAACCACTTGATACCTCTTGGAACCACTTGGTACTCACAATGCGGATGACTTGCTTCTTCACAGGCTGCTCTGCCTTCTTGAAAGGAGCCGCCGCCTTGGGCTCAAACCAAGCTCCATGGTACCACTTGTTACCACTTGGCACCACTTGGTACTCACAATTCGAATGACTTGTTTCTTCACCGGCTGCTCCACCTTCTTAAAAGGAGCCGCTGCCTTGGGCTCAAACCATTTGCATGGTACCCCTTGTTACCACTTGGCACCACTTGGTACTTACAATTCGAATGACTTGTTTCTTCACCGGCTGCTCCACCTTAAAAGGAGCCGCTGCCTTGGGCTCAAACCAAACTGCATGGTACCCCTTGTTACCACTTGGCACCACTTGGTACTTACAATTCGAATGACTTGTTTCTTCACAGGCTGCTCTGCCTTCTTGAAAGGAGCAGCTGCCTTGGGCTCAAACTGCTTCTTCAACTCGCCAATATCGATATCAAAGTCAAGCTCTCTGGTTGGGAAGGATGGAAAGGGGAGAAGGGGAAGGGGAGGACGACTAATGATGGAGAAGAGAGGAATACAGAATGGGTGAAGGGCATTGCCTTGGGCTGAGACCGCTTCTTCAACTCGCCAATATCGATGTCAAAGTCAAGCTCTCTGGTGGAGAAGGATGGAAAGGGGAGGAGGGGGGGGGGGGGGGGGGGGGGTGAGGGAAGGGAAGGACGAGCATTGACAACGGGAAAGAGGGGGTGGAGAAGGGGAAAGGAAGGAAGGAGCCGCCACCTTGGGCTCAAACTGCTTCTTCAACTCCCCAATATCGACATCAAAGTCAAGCTCTCTGGTTGGGTATGGGAGAGCAGGATAGGGGAAGCGGGGACGGGTACAGGCAGAAAAGAGGGGAGGAGAAGGGTAAGGAAGCATTTGGTTAGGCTCAAACAGCCCTCTCGGGTCGCCATTATGGCTTTATTTGCAATCGACACGACCCCCCCACCCCAACGCCCGGATCCCCCCAAACACCCCCCCTGCTCCAAACCAACCCCAGATTAGAAGCATTACTGAAGGAAGAAACAACAACTCACGAAGCCCAGATGGTGCCATTTCTATTCGTCACACACCCCCAGTCCACCAGTGCCTGTTTCCTCCCAACCAAATAGCCCTCGCTCCAACTTTCCCAAATCAGAAGCATTACTTAAACAGGAAATAACTCACGAGGCCCAGATGGTGCCATCCGCGTCTGTCACGGACCCTCAATCCACTAGTGCGCGCTTCCCCCCCCACATCCCCCATCCCAACCAAACCTAGCCCAAATTAGAAGCATTACCAAAAGAAGAAAACAACTCACAAGGCCCAGATGGTGCCATCCGCATTGGTAACGCCCCCCCAGTCCACCAGCGCCCGCTTCCCCCCAAACGGTCCCGGTTCCACACCTTCCCCAAACTAGAAACGTTAGTAAAAGAAGGAAACAACTCACGAGGCCCAGATGGTGCCATCCGCGTTTGTCACGCCCCCCCAGTCCACCAGCGCGCGCCTCCCCCCCCCAAACGGTCCCCCAGGAGGCGGACCCTTCCCCTTGAACCCAGGCGGGAGCGGAGGGGGAGCTTCGCCCTTGCCCCCTGGGGGGGGCGGGGGAGGGGGAGGCCCCGGCCCCTTAGCGCCTGGGGGAGGCGGGGGGGGAGGGGGGCCCTTCCGCCCAGGGGGAGGGGGAGGCGGAGGGGGGCCTTTGGAGCCTGATGGCGGGGGCGGGGGAGGGGGACCCTTGGCGCCCGGGGGAAGGGGAGGGGGAGGGGGGGGCGGAGGACCTTTGCCCCCAGGGGGTGGCGGGGGCGGGGGAGGGGGAGCAGGAGGAGCTTTCAAATTACCACCACCAAGTGACGAGCTAAGGGGGGGGGTCTTGGGGCGGGCCTTACCCCCCGCTCCCCCTGCTTCTTTCTCCCCACTCTCCTCCCCAAACCCTCCTCCTATCGTCCCTGCAGCCGCTTTCAACCCCTCCCAACCGACTCCCTCAGCCTTGGATACCCCTATACCCCTTCTGGCGTCTTTCACCTGTGTCCCATAACTCACAATCGCCCCCTCCTCATCATCCTCACTCTCTCCCCCCTCCCCATCCTTCCCCTTTTTCGCCTTATCGTCCTTTGCTTTCTTCACCCATTTCTTTGCCACGCCTGCAACCTTACTCAAATCCTCCTCCCCCTCCAAACTTTTTTTAACCTCTGGTAAACCAGGGGGTTTCGTCGGGGTCAGAGAATCATTTTCCAAGCTGCCCGGGTCATTGGACGAACCCTCTCGAGCAAGTCTCGCTTTTCCCAGTGCAATAAACGAGCCGTCATCCTCGTCTTCCCAGCCTCTACGGCTTGGGGCATTTTTTGCTCTGCCCAGAGCAGCAAACGAGCTATTTTCACCTGCCCCATTGTCCCTCCCATCACCACCACTCAACTCATTCCCATCCCCTTCCCCGCCATACGAAGCACCGGACCTAGCTTTACGAATTGCCGCTGCTGCCACCGCCCTACTCCCCCCGTACCCTCTCCTGCCCTTTACCCGCCCTTCCTCCCTCCCCCCTCGCTCTCCCCTAGCCCGCTCCCCCAATTCTTTAAAGCTCTTACGCTCTTTCTCAGGCCCCTCCTCCCCCTCGTCTCCCTCCTCCCCCTCTTCCCCTCCTCCCCCATGTTCCCCCTCTTCCCCCCTTCTTCCCCGCCTTCCTCCCCTCACTACCCTTCCCCCACCCCCTTCTCCCCCTTCCGCCCCCTCCCCTTCTTCCACCCCCGCCTTTCTCCCCGCCTTTTCCCGCCTCTTCCTCTCCCCCAAGCTTCCAAACTTCCGCTCAACCTGCTCCTCCCCCTCCCCTCCCCCGCCCGCCTTTCCCCCTTTCCCCTTCCTCCTCGCGCCCCCCATGCCCCTCCCATCCTCACTCCCACTCTCCTCCCCCCAAAAGTCCATCTTCTTCGTCTCCTCCTTCACCTTCCTTACAAGCACCTTCTTTTTATTCTGCTTTCGTTTAGAGCCTCTGGGTGCCAGCCCTTCCAGTAGATGCAACCCCACTATCCCTTCCGACTGCCTCATAAACACCTCCCATTCAGTCTTAAACGCCTCTTTTCCGGACCCCTTCCCTTCCGCCTCCCTCCCCGCTGCTGCTCCCCCTGCTCCCCCTGCCCCGCCCACCGATGCTATTGCAGCAGCCGCGAGAATCCCGTGCTCGTTACTAGCAAACGACGGGTGCACCCCCGACGCTAGCGCATGCGGAGGCGTGTTCGGCGCGAACCTGGTAACCCTATTCGCGGACGAAGTAGACGAAGGCGTGGAAGCAGCGCTGATACTCGTGATCCAGTCAAATCCCGACGCGGGCCCTAAAACCTCCTCGAAATTCACCTCTAATTCCGAATCCGCGTGGCTACTAAGGTCATCATCATCATCATTTTCATATGACCTATAAGTGCTTCTGCTGCGCACGCTGCCTGCCTCGCTGCCATTGTCGTTGAAGCTGCTAGAGGGGGTGCTTGCGCCGCTGCTCACGGGGGTTAGAGTTCTGCTTCCTTTTCCGCCTAGTTTTCCGCTTCTCCCTGCGCCTCCGCCCTCGTCTCCCCGCCTCCTCCCCCCCTTCTCACCCGCGGATGAAACGGACGCGGAGGCCTTCCCCCGCCTGCCTATGTCCGCGAGCGTTCCGCCGCCCCCGTCTTCCCCCATCTCGCCTCCCCCTTCCGCCCTGTTTCCCGCTCCGGACACTGACGCGGCGGTTGCGAGGCGCCGCGGTTTGCGCACGTGCGTGTGCCCGTGCACGTACCCGGGGGTTGGTCCTCCTTTGTGCGAACCTGTACCTGGGCTCGCTGCTTCTGCGGGCGGCGCGCGCGAGGTCGACGCGATCGATCGCGTCAGCCTTGGTCGCGGCCCTTGCGACGCGTGCGACACGTGCGACGAGGAGGTGTTCACGGCGGCGGATTTGGGTCGCGCGTCCGTCGCCGGCAGGTCGTCGTCGGTCCATTTCTTCGACTTGGAGAGGGTGGCGAGGAACCCTAGCTGCGAAACGGGCGAAACCGGGAAGTTTTGTAACAGAAAATGACAACACGGACACGCCAACAGATCAGAATATGATACGCCTTAACGAACTGGTAACCAGTATTATCGCGTTAGTCCTTAACGCGTACAGAAGTACATCGTGAGCGGTACCTACTGAAGTTCAGCATGCTAGAGATGCAATTGGGAAATCCTAACCCTAAGAACATGCATCGGGAGCATTCAGCATGAGAAGACGAAACGACGCGAGTTCCGGGAAAACCTAACGGCACGTATCGGTTTCCCCTATACCGGGATCGAAGTGTACCTGTAGCGGAGGCTCGTTGGAGTCACCGAAAGTGGGAGCTGGCTCGCCTGTCGACGGCCGATCGACGGGGGAGAAAAAAAGCCAGGCTGGGGGAGTTTCAGGCAACCCTAAAGGCATGTATCGGGAAACTCTATACTGGGATCGAAGTGTACCTGTAGCGGAGCCTCGCCGGAGTCGCCGGGAGAGGGGGTTGGCTCGCCCGTTGACGGCCGTTCGACGGGAGAAGACGACGCGTCCTTCGCATTGCCGCTTCGAGATGGCCGAGGGCGGTACGGAGATTTTTGCGCCGTCGAGTCATTCGCCACATCGAGAGGACTCGGGGAGGCCTTCGCGTTGCCGCTTCGAGATGGCCGCGGCCGGTACGGAGATTTTTCCGTCGAATCATTCGGCACCTCGAGAGGAGTCGGTGCGTTCGCCTTGCCACTTCGAGACGGCCGTGGGCGGTACGGAGATTTCTGAGTCGCCTCAGTTGCCCCGTCAGGAGCAGACGGGGAGGCGCTAGCATTAAGTTCTCGAGGTTTCCGAGAGTGGTATGGAGACTTTTGCGTCGAATCATTCGTCATCTCGAGAGGAGACGGGGGGTTGGCATTGGGTTCTCGAGATTTCCGAGGGCGGTACGGGGACTTTTGAGTCCCCTCAGCCGAAAGATCCGGAACAGACGGGGACGCGTTGGCATTGACACCTCGAGACTGCCGAGTGCGGTACGGAGACTTATGAGTCGTCTCATTCGTCACCTCGAGAGGAGGCGGTGCGTTAGCGTTGACACCTCGAGATTGCCGAGGGCGGTACGGAGACGTGGGACCGGGACGCTCCATCCTACAACTGCGGCGGCCTTTACGGCCCCCAGACTGTCCCTTCGCTGCTACTAGGCTCCTACTGGCCTTCAAGAAAGCACCCTAACTTGACGATGAACTAGTGCTGATTCACCTATACCTGCGACTCCGCCTACTGTCGCCTAGACCTGAGTATTCGCGCACTCCGCAGCCTAACTCACTAAAGAAAAGCCATAACCACGATCTGATCTTCTGAGGCGTCTCAGACGAACTAACGTTCTCCGCGGCGGCCTGAACTCGCTGACGCGCCGGCTGATAAAAGACGTGTTTTGGGACGTCTCAAGACGTCCCTGTGGATGTGGTTCTTATGTCCGGAAAAGACGCCTGCTTGGATCCGTAACCTAAGGAAAGCTATCATGATGCCTTGGTTCTTGTGTCCAGATAGAAGCGCCTACTTGGCTTAACCGTAAGAAAGAAATCATGACGGCGTGATTCGTGCCGCCTGAAAGCGTTTCCGCATTGCGGTTCAGGGCGACCGTGCATCATGACACCATCGCATTAGCCGAAACGAGCCCCCTAGTGGCGCACTGCCTTTTCGCGCAGTGCCTGAGTTGCGTTGCAGCAGCAGGCTAACTGCACTCCTGTCGAAACTCTTATTCGGTATTCCACCTGAAAGTTTTGCTTCGTCTCTGCTCTACTACTAGTACTAGTTAGTGTTGGCAGGGCCTGAATAATGAAACGCTGACGGCGGAGTTATCGGAGTTACCTAGGAGATAGGCGGACTGTACTTGCCTGCCATTGTGGTAATTTCAATAGAACGGGTCTGATCTGCTTTGGTGCTGAGGTCAGGGCACAGAAAGTACTGAAGCGCGAATGACCGCTTTGCAACTAGTGGAAACATTTGGAACCGCTACGAATGTTTTGCGATGGTACTGTGAAGGGAAGCGCGGGAAGTTCTAAAAGACGTGAGTAGCTAATGACGCAATGTTACGAGTGCAATTGAGTGAACGAACGAGATTTGCACTATCGAAGCAAGAGTACAATGAGCGAAGGCATGAGCGAAGAATATATAGCGAAACTACGGTGGTAACGGTAATGGTCGCGCGACGGGCCTGGGACTGAGGTTGGGAAAGTGTCGAAGCGTAGGCCCGGAGCGCGGGTTACCAGCCGAGCCGTGAGGTCGGGATGCGATGTGCGAAAATGGCGGGATGATGAATGATGCGATGGTCGCGAGTGGTAACGGTGCTGACTGAGGTGCTACAGTGATGTACGCGTTGAGCAGGGATGCGAAGTAAGGAAAAGGGAATTTCCTTACACTACCCCCCCCTCCTAAGGAGGTCCTCCATACGAAAGCGCATGGACGTCTTTGAAGTTTCGGCTGCGCAGATAGTCGGTGACGACAGGGTGGTTTTCAATTCTGTCCAGGGGAACCCACTTGTCCTCGGTGGGTGTACGATCTTTCCAGCGAATCAGAAACTCAACTTTTCGGGCTCCTCGAGGGTCGCGAACTCTGTGGCTCAAGATTTTGTCGGGGGTGATGACTGGTTCGGTTGGTGGTCGTGACATGCTGGATGGTCGATGTCGTGAGAGTTGGCTGGTGGATGGTACGTAAGGGCGAAGCAGGCTGACGTGGAACGAGGGGCTGACGTACCAGTCAGCAGGAAGGAGGAGGTGCCCGGTGACATGTATGATCTTGTGACTGATTCGATTTGGCCCACAGTATCGAGGGCGGAGTTTGGGAGTGATGGGCAGGCGGAGGTTTTGAGTGTCGAGTAAAACGAGGTCGTCGGGCTCATAAGTGACGGGTCTGCGGTGGCGATCAGTGTTGCGTTTAGCGATGATATTTGATTTTTTAATTGCTTCTGCTGCCCTGGTTCGTGCTGCTTGCAAAATCTCGGCGAACTGTTGTGCGCGTGGAACGGGATTGTCGGGGTTTGGTGTCATGGGTACTGTTGGATTCTGTCCGTAATTCAAGTAGAATGGCGACTGTTGGGTCGTGGCAGATGGCGCGTTGTTGTATGCGAACTCGATGAGAGGCAGCTGCTGCTCCCACGTGTTTGGATCGTCACACGTGGCTCGAATGAGCTGGTCCATAGTCTGGTTTATCCGTTCTGTCTGTCTGTCGGTTTCGGGGTGATACAATGAACTGAATTGAAGTCGCGTGCCGAATTGCTGCCACAGGTTCCGCCAGAAATTACTGGTAAACTTCGTGTCCCTGTCGCTGATGATCGACGCTGGTATCCCGTGTAGTCGAACGACGGTGGCGATGAAGAGTCGGGCTATTTCCTCGGCTGTGATTGATTTCCTGCATGCTGCGAGATGTGCCATTTTCGTTAGTCGATCGACGACGACCAGGATCGCGTCATTCCCACTCGCCCCGGCTGGTAACCCCGTAACGAAGTCCATCGTCACCTGCTGCCAAGCACGCTCTGGAGGTGGGATTGGTTGTAATTGTCCCGCCGGCCGCTTCCTGGTTGACTTCATGAGTTGGCAAGTGGGACACGATGCCACGTGTCGTTGCACGTCGGTCAACATTTCCGGCCAGTAATAGTACCGCTGCAGCTGCTGCCGTGTTTTTTCTACTCCGAAATGTCCCGAGGTAACTCCGTCGTGTGCCTCCTGTAACAGTAGTTCCCGTAGTAGCGTGTACCCTGGTACCCAGATGCGGTCGGATCCAGCTTTTACGTAATAGACTCCCTTGGCTGCTGCGAACTGCTGTGGATTTCCTCCTGTGAAGAATGGGTCTGTTTGATATCCGTGGGTAAATAGTCCTGTCAGTAACAGGCTGGTCTGGGCGAGTAGTATCGCATGGATTTGGGCAGTGGGGCGGGTCAGTGCGTCGGCGATATTCGAGGCTCCTTTTTTATATGTGACCGTATAGTGGAAATTCGACTCGAGGAAGTCGAGCCACCGAATCTGTCGTGGGTTGAGGTGGGGCTGTGCGCGAAGGTACTGTAGAGATCAATGGTCTGTCCGTACTGTCACGTCTGCGCCGGTCAAGTAGCAGCGCCACACTTTGAATGCATGCACGATCGCGAACATTTCGCGGTCGTGTATCGGGTAATTTCGCTCGGGTGGATGTAGCTTGCGTGATTCGTAGGCGATGGGTTGGAGGTCGTTGCCGAAGTCCTGTAACAGTACGGCTCCGATGGCGATGTCACTCGCGTCTGTAACAACTTCGAAGGGGCGGTGTGGGTCAGCGATGCGTAGGACGGGTGGTGAACAGAGAACATTTTTCAGGGCAGAGAAGGCAGCATGCTCTTTCTCCCCCCACGTAAAAGGGACCCCCTTACGCAGTAAATCAGTGAGCGGGGCTGTTAAGCGTGCCATGTCAGGGACGAACCGACGAACGTAATTAACAAACCCTAAAAAACTCTGCAGTTCCGTGATGTTCGTCGAGGGATGCCACGCTTTTACGGTATCCAGCTTCTTAGGGTCTATCTCAACCCCAGCCTCCGAAATGACGTGACCTAAAAACTCTAGCCTGTCCCGAAAAAACTCGCACTTGGAGCCCTTGGTGAGAAACCGATGTGCCTCTAAAATTTTAAAAACTGCTTCGAGATCTACTAAGTGCTGCTACTGGTCCCGACTGTAAACGAGGATGTCGTCGAGGTAAACTATGACGCATTTATCTAAAAGTGGCCTACATGCCTCGTTCATGGTCATCTGAAATGTTGCAGGCGCGTTGGTCAGCCCGAAAGGCATCACCGTGTACTCGAATGACCCGTACCTAGTCCTAAATGCTGTCTTAGCGCAGTCCGATGGTTCGACCCGAATTTGATGGTAACCTCCCCGTAAGTCTATTTTCGAAAATACTCGTGCGGTTCGCAGCTGGTCTATCGTGATTTGACTGTTACCCTGTTAAGCGTTCGGTAGTCGATGCACATGCGAAACCCTCCGTCTTTTTTCGGTGTGAACAGTTCGGTGTGGCGAACGGTGACGAGCTCGGTCGGATAAACTTCTTCTCTAACTGGTAATCTAACTGCTTCCTTAGCTCGTCGAGCTCGGGCTGTGTCAGTCGAAATTGGCGCTGTACAGTTGGCTGTGCCCCCGGTTCTAACTCGATCCTATGGTCATGCGCCCGCTGAGGTGGCAGCCCTTGCGGTAAGTCATCCGGAAAGATACCCGGGAACCGTTTCAGTAGTGCCTGTAGTTCGGGTGGTACGGCTGCCAACAGTTTCTGCAAATCACTCGGCTGCTCCTCTTTTTCCACTAATGCGATATCCACTGCGTACACGTCCGCTCCAGCAGCGACAGCCCGTTTCATCGTGATGGCGTTGACCTGGACCGTCGAAGACTCGGGTGGCTGCCAACGAGGTAGGACGACCCAGTTACCACTACTTCGCACTATGCAGCTACCCGTCGTCCAGTCAATTCGTCGGTTATACCTTCGCAGCCAATCACGTCCCAATAAAATGTCGTGCCCATCCAGTGTCGTTGCGAGCATTTCTTGTGTAAACCCGAAGTTCCCTCCGCAGCGGACTTTTACTCTCTCCACCTTTTCCCGTATAGCCAGTGGCGTGCCGTCGACTAAGCGTGCATCTATCTCAGGTAAGCATCGGTTAAGTGTTAACTGTAATTTCAGTGCGGTTGCGGTATTAACTAAGCTGTGACTTGCTCCTCCGTCAATAAAAATCTTCACTGCTGCTCCCTGTATTTTCCCGTAGATTAGTACCGGGCAATCCGTCGCTGTACCCTCCTTATTCATCCGAGCCCGATCGATGGCATGAATCGGTACTGTGACTCGGTGAGGGCCGGTGTGGTTGGGCGAGCAAGCAGTCTCGTTAGTATTTGGCCCAACTTCTACTGACTGCTGGCGTTTCCCTGCCTCTGAGACTCCCTCCCGTGCTCTGCTCCTCGGCGCCTCAGCTCCTCTGGGCATTCGCTCTTGCGATGGCCCGGCCTGTTGCAAGCAAAGCAGCGCCCCTTAAACGGTGCGGCAGCTGCATTCGTTGCGACGGCGTGTACAGTGGCGTGCTTGGCCGGTCCCCGAGGACGATGTCCGTAATAGGACCCCGGTCTCGGTCGGCGTAGAATGTCGA